AAAGATGCGTAAGAAATAGGATACAGTATTATGAAAATTTACCTCTCCTTCATTTGTCAACATTATCCTAACATTTTTGGGCTCATGACATTTAATAAAATGGTTTGGTTTAGAAATTCCAAGTTTATTTGATTTTTGTTGACCTTGCTGAGAAGCAGCATTTAGGGGGAATGTTTGGGGAGGGATGGGAAGGCTGAAGAGTCTTTAAGTGTCTTAAAAGCAATATTTAAACACTGAATATTAAAATATTTGTGAAGTATAAATCAAGCTACTTCTGACTTCAGGTACTGTTGCTGCCAGGCTGAGTCAGAAGTGGGGGGAATGGATTGTGAAGTAGCAGACTGGGGGAATGGGTTGGAGCATGTCCAGGAGAGCACATGAGATGATCAGAGGATTTGGGAGAAATATGAAGGGTTGACCTGGCGTGAGGCACAAACAGGAAGATGCAGGCCTCCTTGCCAGTTGGCTGAGGGGATTCAGGGGACCTTGAGAGCTTGGAGAATGAGAGGCATAGGATGGTGTTAGTGGAAACGTTATATATCTACACGAGATAGAAGGTGTGGAAGATGGAAGGGCGGGGTACTGGTGCACACCCAGGAAGTGGGGGACAGAAGATAGGAGCAAATGGAAGTGTGGGGTGAAAGGAAACAATAACTGACCGCTCTGAGCAGGGATGGACAGAGGTATGCCAGGGATAGTTGGATGTGGGATTTGAGGGGTCTGTGGGGGGAGCAGTGCAGGACACCCAGCCAGTTTACACTTCCACATAGTCTCCTAATTGATAATTACTCCTTCCAATTTACGCTGTGCTACAGTCTTAAACACCTTGAATAAAGAATACTTTTCAGGTACATTTTGTGCAAATGTTATATATGGACACGCTTTTGTCCCAACAGGTTCAGATTATCTTTATTAACCACATTTTCACATGCTTCAATCTACATTTTAGTATTAATTTATAAGATTACTAACCTAGGTAGAAATTGACTTTTGTGGTAAGGGTTATTTTTGTAATTTTGTTGAGCCACCACCTGGCTAAGGATGGGTAAGTTCCAGAGTTGGGTCTCTGAATTGCCTTTCTTCTTTGTGCTGGCAGTTAGAATTTACATGGAACTCAAAGCAGTCAGTTATATTGTTTGTGTTGAAGGCTGGCTGTGTTTTTGAAAATGGCCAGCAAACAAAATCACTAAATAGCTTTGGAAGACCTAAAGTTAATAAAGAATATATTATAATAAAGATGGCTGGGTGTCTTAATGTCATAAAATGTGTGCAATTTAATCAAGTGAATGCTTTTTCTGTTTTCAGATTCTAATCGTAAGACTGTGTTAAATAAAACTTTTCATGATGAGCCTCTAATTATGGAGTAAGTATGTATGGCATCTTACCTTGAACAAAACTTGCAGAAATAAATTGGAACATAAATGTTAAATATTTAATGTTTAAGTGTTTAGTTTGTTTAACAATGTCAAATTAAAACACCAAATATCTTAAGTCTGAAATGTGCCCAATACTAAAAACACAACATGAAATCATCCAGGCTGCAGGCTGTCGCATTTCCTCAAGGTGAAGTCTCATGACTTGCGGCCTCTAGACCAGGCATTTAGGCTGCAATTTACTGTGATCACCTCAATAGATCTGTCTTTAATTCTATATCTGCAGTCCTGGTCTCTCAGGGACAATGACAGGATTAACAAGGGACCAGCCAGTGTTCATAAAACCAAGTATGTATTCAGAACAAAAGCATTACAGAGAAAACAATAAATAGCTTACATGCCTGCTTACGAGATAATACTTGTCTGCTACATAGGACCCTAGTAGGTTTCTTAGTACTCCAGGTTCTCTCACAAGGACTGTATCTCTTGTCATAGTCTCATGTCAGTTCTTGGATGCAGTGAGAGTGATCTCTCTTCATGTAGTCAGATAGTCACTTTATACTGTTCTCAGTTCTCTGTTTGCCCAGGTGTCTTCAATCAGATCAGTTTATGCAGTTTTCCCCAGGGTGGAGATTTCTCTAGACTTGTTACAGGCCTACTGATTCACATTAATTATCCCTGTCCCTGCCAAGTGAGCTTAGTTCCTGCAGGAAACTCCTGTACCTCCCCCCAATGGAGCTAGAATATAATCCCTAGACCAAACAGAAACATATAACATTTATAAAGTAGATACCACAGTAATGTCTTTGAATATTCCATGCATCTGTCATTCTACTTGTTCATAAGCCGGATTTTTTTGGTAAAAAAGGGAAGCATCAGAGAAGGGGGTTGGCTTATGAATGGGTATAGAGAGGGAGAGGTGAGACACAGCCCCTCCCCCCCAACAAAGGGGGCAAGGAGAGGCAGCACAGCCAGCAGAGCCAAAAGGGAAGAGGCGGGGCCAGAGTCTCTATGCTTCTGGCCACGCTGCTTCCACCCCCCACCTCCGAAGCAGCTCCAGCTCCGGGGCTGGCAGGCTGTAGCCGCGCAGCCCAGCCTGCTGGAGCAGCTCCAGCCAGGCCAGAACATCCTCACCTGGCCCGCCACAGCTAAGGTGGAAAGCAATGGGATGGGGATAGTGTGGGGGCCCCAGGCTAGGGGTGGGGTCATGTGAGAGGTGGTCACAGGGGTTACTCCCCCGAACCCCAGTCCCCCCCCAAAAATGTCCCCACCAGTTGCTGTTCTGGCCCATCAGGGTAAGTCACTAGCAGGCCGGGACACTTTGTTTACTTAGGTTTACCTCCGTGCCTGCAGATGCTTGAGGTAAACAAACCGTCTTGGCCCGCCAGCAGCTTATCCTGATGGCCTGGGAGCCAAAGTTTGCCTACCCCTGAAATAGGGTCGGCTTATGAATGGGTCATAAAAAATTTCCATTTTATTATCCATCTTGGGGGGATCGGCTTATAAATGAACCGGCTTATGATCGAGTATGTATGTATTTGCAACCTCAGATAAGCAGCCCTTCTGTGATTGGTGATCGGTGAACTCAAATTTCATGTTTGCTGAGGCTGATTACTTCCGTGTGTGTTGTAGGTAAGCTTAGAAGTCAGCATTGACCTAGGAGAAGTAGGGTGGCTACCACAACTGATAGGACCTGTGAGGAGATTAAGGTAGGAGGGTTGAGGAGAAAGGTGGAGAGATCTGCTAGATGGATGGTGGTTGGGAGATAGTTAATAAATTATTCTAATAGTCTGGTTAGGGTAGGGATTGGAGGTATATTGATTTAAACTTTCCCTTTATTTTTTAGTAATTTACGTTTAACACAGTATTGCACTGTATTTGCTTCCTCCCCACCTCTTTTGCTGCCTGATTGCATACTTCTGGTTCCAAATGAGGTGTCTGGTTGACCGGTCAGTTTGTAACTCTGTTCATAACTCTGATGTTCTACTGTAGTGCAGATTTGAACTGAATCTTCATAGAAGAATGCACAGAATCAAGTTCTTCAATTCTTAAGAGTCCCAAATACAGAGGGATGATTTATAATAGTCAGACTGAAAATTGTTAATGAAGGATAAGATGACACAGCTTGTTTTTACGTTTTCAGCTTCAATGGTGATTTAATTCCTGATGTCTTTGGTGTCACAAATGAATCAGATAGACCTCAGATACTGCTAGGCAGGTAAGCTAAAATGTTTACTTATTTACTAGCATGTAACATGAATATTTATATCAATTGTTGGCACACCCAATTCTACTGTCAGTGCAAGTGCATAAAATTTCCATGTTGAGTGGGTGGTGTACAGATATGGAGCTCTTGTTTTGACCCTCTTCCTCTTGATATCATAGAAGCAATGTTCTGTGTACTCTGTGGCACATAGGATCTAATTTCTGTGCACTTCTGTGTAATAAACTAGAAATTCTGTGACGGTTTCAAGAACCTAAAACTTGAGTAATGGTGGCTGATATGAGAAAGTACATGGTGGTTTCTTGCAGCTCTTATGGTGTACAATGGTAATGAATTCAATTGCATTTATTTTTATCATGGTAGAACATAGATGCAAGTGTCTTTTTAATTGGCACTGTACAAATATGTAACAAAAAGACTGTCGTCTGTGTACACACTGAAGCCTATAACTTATATTTGGTCTAATACACCTCAAGATTCCATTCATGTAAATACAAAAGTATGTCAGCAGATACCAGTGGGCTATCCACTATTGATTAGGGAACAGACATGAAAAATTTGTGCAATATTTTTCATGTGCTCAGGTTGAGGCATAAAGTGTGTATAGTTTTGACGTATACAGAGGTACACTTGGCTGGTTCAGAGATTAATGGTAAAATATTGTCTAAAGATTAAATTCGTTCCTGATACTGTGTTGCTTGAAACCTTGGAACAAATTTTAACTGAGTGAATGCTGTTGGTGTTTGTTTAGAGCGATTACGGTTGGACTAAGTCTATAATTGTCTTATTTTCATTTCCTCTCTTCCACTTACTTGTTGGTTCCTTGTGG